TGTGTGTGTGTGTGTGTGTGTGTGTGTGTGTGTGTGTGTGTGTGTGTTTTAGGTCTTCCAAGAAAAGGAGACTAGTTCTAGCTGGCTGTAATGACAAAACTGAGTTAGAGTTTAAGAAATCAAGCCTGAATAGCTTACATAGTGTGTTTAAAGTAACTTTACCTTCCCCCCCCCCCAAGAAACCAGAAGTCTAGCCCTTATAAACACACACACTTTATGGTATAATGGAGTCTTCCCTTCCCCTATAATATGGCTGATAAATAATCAAGTCTATCTAGTGTTAGGATGCTGCACAACCTCCATTGATTTTTCTCTCCTGTACAGTTTTTAATATACAACCTATCTTCTTGGGCTGATTGAGTCCTTGTGGATATAATACAGAAATAATCCAACATAACAAACAGAGGAAAAGCATTACCGAAAATGACAATTAAGGAAAGTAGTAGAAAATGTTCTCTTTACTATTCAGGTTTCTTCAAGTGTTCTTTCTAAACCTTTGAATAGGAGGTCCTAAACTGAGGGCCAGTGTTTTTAAACTAGACTGAGTTTAAAAAGCCCTTGAGATTGTCTAAAGTAGCCAAGCAGATTTTTTTTTTCTGTTGAAGACAGAAGCTCTAGTTTCCAGCACATACTAATAATATCGGTTGCTTCTTTTACTAAGTTCTTACCAAGCTCTAGGCATTTTATAGATGAGAAAAGAGAGATTACATCATTTTCTAAGGTTACTAATCAAGTAAGTTGTGCAGCTGGCATTTGAACAGAGATGTGTCTAGTCATGTAGTCTGTGTTCCTTTCATTCTCACTGTCTAAAGCAGTGGTTCTCAACCTTCCCAATCCTATGATCTTTTACTGTAGTTCCTCACGTTGTGGTGGCCCTAACAATAAAATTATTTCATTGCTATGCCATAAATGTAATCTTGCTATTGTTATGAATAATAATGCAGATATCTGTGTTCTTCAATGGTCTTATGTGATCCTGTGAAAGGATCACCTAAGGGGTCGAGACTCACAGGTTGAGAACCACTGGTTTATGGACAATCTGTGGCCCCAATAAGATTATGGGGTGTTGGGGGCTTCCTTTGCGGGGAATTACTGGTGCTGATAAACTCACCTACAAGAATTAGGGAAGCAACTTGAGTCACTGCTATCCTCACCACTAAAGTGTAATAGAATAAAATTTTTTGCATTTCTGTCTTGACCATATGAC